GGAGCCGCTGGGGCTGTGAGTCTACCACCCCGGCATGAAAGAGTTGTACAACGCCGAATAAACATATAAACTACAGGCAGCACAGGTCGGTGTGCAATGTCAGAAACATTAAATCACCTGTCTAAAGTGTGGTGGGTCGATAACGAAAGAAAAGAGCCTGTGACACTGCGAAAAAGGAAAACGAGCAACCGACTGAGCAATGTCCAGGTCACGTGACAAAACACAGCTCTCATATGACAAGAAAGCTCCAATGGGGAATGTAGTTTTTTATCTAAGCGGTAAGGAAGATTTGGATTCTTAGTCCATTTTAGCCTTGCTAGCAGCGTGGCAGCTGTTTAGTGTGTCAAACCATATTCACCAAATTTTTCTACAAGGAAGACAAATAAGCCACCTGCAATAACCAAGACACAGTAAAATGACCACTGGATATATGGAAAAAAAAAACTTTACAAATAATAAATAAGAATAAAATAAACTTTAAATTCATCATCATCAAGTTCACACAAATGACACAAAATGTTTGCCAAATAAAGCCAAAGGGAGGATAATGCTTTCTCCCACTTGATACCAGCCAGTCTGCAGTACAGCTTGCCTGACCCTTAGTGGCCTACAAAGTGTATAACACTGAGTCAAGGAGAAAAAAACCCTGTAAGTTTGATTCATTTTGATGTACTGATGCATACACGTGGTTTAGAGAAACAGAATTGAACATCCCGGCACTAGAATGTATCAGACATGATGCATTTGAGTATAGCAGATGCTGTAATAGAAGTTGTGTTATTTTGCCTTGTTCTATATTATCAGCATTCTACTCTACATTGTGTTGCTTGTTTTGCATCTGACTTGCCAGATAATCTTGTTTGATTTGCTAAATAAGCTTTTGTGTTTAAAAAAATGTAGTGCTATATCCATAGGTTGAGCAGAGAAACGTAGATCCTAAGGTGATTAAGTATTTGTGTGCCGGTATTCGTAATATTATTTTATTCAAATTATTTTTAAACTCATTAGTGCTTCACAACTTAAAAAAAAATGTAACAATCTCAACCAATTTATTTTTCACTGTAGTTACAGAGCTGATAGTGTGGCTGTAAAATCATAGTCCTGTTCACATTTTACTGCAGCATTTAAGAGTTGAAGCAAAGTCTTTGGTGATGAAGAAAGAGTACAAGCAGTCTGCTCCATGTCCTTGGTTCCTGTGTAAGCTCAACATGAGGAGATGGGGGGAATAGGAAGCAGGAAAGAACAGAGTATCACATGAAAACCGGCAGGAGAAACCACTTGATTAGAAAACAGCCATAAAGCCATGTGGTGTGTGACATTAAAGATAAAGTAGATATTGTGACATTTACATTTACCCTGATACAGAAAATAAATAATTAAAACTCTACACTGTATCCTTGGCTCATTTCTGCTACTTTAACAAAAACAAAAGGCAGCTTTAAATGTTCTGGTCACACATCATCTGAACAGGCTTCAACCTCTTCATTTCTGCCTTTCATTTTTCACACTCACATTGTAGTCTGAGAGTCTACCAAACATGACCGAGAATAAAAATAGAGGCAGATGACAAAGCTGTGGTGTGTAAAGCAGCACTGTGACAGTGTGCAAAGTTTACGTCTTATCAGATAAGACATATAATATCCTGATAGACTGTGATTTAATCATTACTAGTTTGTTAGCCGTGTAAACAAAGGAGCACTTTTAACAGAATAATCTGAAAAGATCCAAGTTCAGTGTCTCCTGGTGTTATTTTCCAGTCTCTGAGAGGTTAGTTCATACTGACAGTCTCTCTCATAAGGTCTTTGGATGAGGAGGCCATGGTGTTGTCACAGATAGTGGAAAGACACACATCCGCACTAGTGTTTGGAGTTCTGCTATTGCCAATCCTTCTGAAAGAGTTCCTGATCCCGCTGGACAGGCGGTTGGACACACGTCTCACCACCATTGCAAGTCCTTGGTTCTTCAGCTTGATCAGGCCCACGTCGTCCTCCAGCTCCTCCGGAGGCACGTCAATGTTTCCAGAGTACCAGAACACCCACCAGATCAAGCTGAGGAAGATGACAATGGCCCCGCCGTAGATGAACAAATCGTGGATAACCAGCCCCCCAAACACCCCCACCATCATGATAAGGACACCGAGGACGTCGTGGGCCACTGCGAACCAGAACGAGCACTTGCAGCGCCCAACTCTGCTGTACCTCTTCTCCATGACGGGCTCTATCTGCACAGAGGTTGACATGGTGGGCGTGCAGCTCCTCAGAATCAGGTGTTTGTATTTTCCCAGTCCAGATGTGGAAACAACTGAAAAGCAACAGGTACTGGCAGTTGACGTGTGATCCTCACAGTAACACATGAACACTCAGTGTGACCTGCTATAACACTGGTCAAAGTGCAATGTACACAAGCATTTATCAGCTCGGGCCACACCGGCTTTGTGACTGTACTGGATGATTCAAGAGGAACAGTTGCATCATCATTGAAAAAGTAATGTTTCCACTCTCACATTCTTCTGTTTAAATCTCCTGGCTGTACTGCTTCCGCCTCTGCTTTTCTTTCAATACAGGGATCCACACCAGGCCCATCACTACAAACATCAGCCCTATGGACAGGCAGGCTGAGGCTACAGAGCTGGGCGCCTCAGTCATCCCTGATGACTGGAGCAAGAATAGGAGTCCGCCTGCAGCAGACATCAGAAATCCCATCACCATCACTGTGATGGGCTTGTGGAGGTACACGCAGCCTGGGGCCACTGTGGAGCCTGATTCAGGGTCTGAGCACAGACTCTCATCCGGAAATGAAGTTTCTCCACTCTCTTCCATGGCTGCTTCACAGAACGAAGCCTGTCCTCACTCTCTTTTCCCCTTTTGAGAACCTTTAACACATGAATAATAGAAACACTGGCAACTAAACATCCACAGCTCCCCAACTTTCTTCTTCGTTTCCGTCTTAGGCCGTGCTGTCTGCTCACCTGGTCCCTGCTGAAGTCAGCTGAGTGCAGTCACATGAAGGAGCTAGATCTTCTGTATTATCAACTAGTGTCTGCATGATGCATCTATTATTCTCCTGCGTTGCCTTAAACCCTCAAATACCAACATACTATATAAATGTATATTATACTATATATATATATAAATATAGGACAACTCATTCTGGTGATGCAGATGAGCCTGGGGATACACAGCTCTTTCCATAAAGTGGCTGGGTGTAGCAAAGGATGTAATCATACCCAGACAGCATTATTACATGCAGGTAGCAGCTGTACGAGCCTGAACAGAATCCCATTAGGCTTGATATGTGATACAGCTGCCAGCTCATCCACTGTGAGTAAACACCTCTCAAGGATAATGAAGCTCTGAAGTGGAAGTGTACAAAGGATGCATTAATTTATTTCATTGAAAAATAATGAAAAAAAGCACAAGTTTCTAAATGTAACGTCATCAACTGTTCTGTCCATCCAACACTCCACAATGGATGTTTAAAATAGTAGGGCTACAACTAGGATTACTTTCTTCATTGAAATAAAAAACTACAATGACATAAAAGCAGCTAATACGGTTTAGGAGATGCAGCCAGTTTTTTTTTGCCAATTTGGTTTAAGAAATTCATGAAACAATTAAGCCAATTATTCTCCCTGCTACATTACTTCAAAAATTACTCAAATATCCAAATTACTGCAGAGAAATTTTTTTTGCCATTGCAGAACATCTTACATATGCTGGAATCAGAGAAACTCCGACTATTATTTTTAGGTCAAAAAGGACAAGTACAATATTTTTGCAACACCTCACAAAGATACTATAAACTGACCAGCTGACCGAGGCCGTGGAGCATTTTATAGCCACTGTCATGACATAGGCCTGCTAGGACCATTGCTATAAAGCCTGTAGAGAAAGCAACTCAGCCTTAGACACTGTGGTATCAAATCAAGTTTATAATCTGCTTTGTTCAAGCAAAAAAAAAAAAAAAAACGCACAAAAAGCACCATACAGACATACACTACTCTGATTATTCTGCAAACTGGTCCTGTCCTTGTTCAGAAGGTAATGTGCAAAGACGCTCTGTGACTCATTTCACTTTAGGCACTTTTCTTTTCGCTCTGGCGTCAGCCTTCTGTGTCCGTTTGCCCTGAGTTTTTCCTCCCTTTGTCACCGCGGCAGGTCGGGGTGCTTTCTCCAGCTGCTTCTTTTTCAATAGCTTCTACAAGAAAAAGAAGGAACAAGAGTCTGCAATCCACTTAAAAGTGTTTTTCTAAACTGTAGGTTAACTTATTCCAAACCTAGCAGCTGCAGGCAGTACTGACCTCCACTTTAGGCTTCTTGCTTGGTGTTTCTATGGGAACCAGCTGTGGGATTTCTTCCTCCTCATCGTCTGCCTCCGCCTTCTTTTTCTTTTCCTTCACCTTCTTCTCCCCCTGTTCCTTTGCAGTACCACCTGTTTGTTTTTTGCCCTTTGTCTGTTTTTTCTTTGCCTGTTTTTTGTCTGCAGCTCCCTGAAATTCACGGACACACAAGTTGGTTATTTTAGTCACTAATTCAACAACTCTGGACCAGAGGTTGAGTTAGATTTTCTGTCATTGATGGAATTTTTTTAATAATGGAAAAATCCTGAAGGCCGTCTATCATTCTGACAGATTAGAAGACAGGGGGTGATCTACCCCAACTTAAAACGAGGTTACTAACAAGCCCAATAGTTTCTATGCCGTTGATAAATGAGGTGAAAAAAAAGAAGGTCTGATGTGGTGGATGAAGGACAACTGATTGGGAAATCCCAGGTCCAGAGCAACTTCTAAACACATCCTGAGAGAAATGTTCCCTGACTTCAAAACTCTGGCTGAAGTGGAGCTGGCAAGTCTCCAGTGTCCTCCACTGTCACTGTGGGGAAAAATGTCTTCTGCTTCAATGTGCGCCGGATACGGTCATCAGAAAGGAACATGTCAAAGTTCCCCAGCAGGCGACGCTTGGCTTCATAAGGTTTGTACTCCGTTGACATAAAATGTTGCTGCACATAAGCTTGGTCTGTATATTAATTATTACAAAATTTGAATGAGCAGAAATTAAATGCTATTAAATGTCTTGTTATGACAAGCAATAATAAATTACAGCAGAATTTTAATGACCCTGTCCGTCAAATTAAGGGACAATGAGAACATCTAGTGTGACCTCTGCTCTGGACTCAAACACAAGACAGCGCCTTAAGGACAAACTTGCTCTCACCTCTTCTTCAGGGGTCTGAGCTTGCTTATCTGCTTCCTTCCCCACGCTGAGGAGGCTCAGGTCTGAGGTGTAGATGGGCAAAGCCACTGATGTTTGACTTTTTATATGGATGAGCTTCATCACCGGTCCTTTCTGTAAACCCCAGTAACAGAAGAACTAAGTCAAACAGGCTAAAAAGGTCAAGCTTGGTTGTTTGTTTTATTACATGGGAGATAATCTGACACAATATGTGAAATCCAACACCTGCAACAAAGCGACTATATTAAATTCTAACATCCCAGTAATCTGTAGCAAACTACCTCAAGATAATTAGGACCAAACTAACATCTCAAGGAATTCTGTGAAATATTTGACATATACTGACATTTTGGAGCACAAAGGAAAATTAAGGAAAACTGCACAGGCAGTTTTACTCCCAAAGAATTTGGTCCATTTCTGACATAGAATTTGTCCAACTGGCTGAACCAACCCTAACAAAAACACAAGACAGGTCTCTGGGTAACACTCACCATGTGTATTTTGGCCACCACCGCCTGGACAGCGGCCTCAACATTTTCTGTCACCTCATCTGCAGTCATGCCGGAGTGGCCGACACGGGCCATACTAGAATACAGGACCATAACCCAAGATAATAAAGGGTTAAGGATCTGACGTGTTCAAGCCAACACTGTGAAAAATACTTGTGATTAAATCAACACAAGAAGTAGACATTTCCTATTTGACATTAAATACTATGTATCAAAGTTGTAGAGACAGTCTCCACGGGAAGAGGAGGTCCGTCTGGATTTACACTGAGTCACTATAGCACCAGCATTCCCCGTATCAAACACTGCACAGAATTGACAGGGTTGCTGTGAGGTGCGAGACAACGCATTTCAACATCCATCAAAACTCAGATCCTTGTTTGCCTCACGGTGGAAGCAACGCTGAAATTACATGTTCACCTAAAGCTGAGAAAAACACTGGCTTCACAGAAAGCTGAGTCAAGTCGGTTCAGTTTATTAGCGAAATAAAGCGCAGCAGGGCAAATCTCACCAGCAGCAGCCCTTGTTGGTAACTTTCAGGCTGGTGCCCTGAATGACTCTGTGTACGTCTCTGGCCAGATGTTTGCTCTGCAGGTTCACACACAGCGGCTCTCTGGTCAAGACAGAAACAGAACGAGAATACAAAACAGAAACAAGTACATAAATACACACAATTGTAGAAAAAGAACTTGTGAGCAATTTACATTATAAAGGGCTTTTTTCCCTCCACTATCTGATTTAGAGGTGGTTTAATGCAAAACATACATACTTTTAATCACATATTAGCCACTGAGCATTTGAACTGTTGAAAGGTCCAAATCCAATGTGGTGCATGTTTCTCACTGCCTTTTCAAAGGCTCTCCTCAGAGGAGAACAGTCCCGCTGACACATGAATAAGAAACGTAAACAAGATGAAAGGTTCCTCTTTAGCTGTTGGGCACTAAGCAATCTCATTTTTACAGCTGAGCTGTTGGGCACTAAGCAATCTCATTTCTACAGCTACCACGATTAGTGGACATAAGCGATGACGTGACATGAGAAAAGTTATACTTGTGGAATTACAATTTTACTGTCACCCATATAGGACTCAACTGACCCACTGGTCAGCAACCTACAGCTGGTGCTTACAGAGCTGACAAAGGTCAACACCCAACAGACAGTGAAGCTCCAGTGCCAAATCTGTCATGTTACACTGTGGTTTGATACCAAAGGAGCTCAGGCAAAATTCTGACAACACTAAGGAGAGTTCTTACTTCTTTCTTTGGTAGAAATGTTTTCCGAGGTGGGACGGCAGCAGGCGCCGGATACGGTCATCAGAAAGGAACATGTCAAAGTTCCCCAGCAGGCGACGCTTGGCTTCATAAGGTTTGTACTCCGTTTTCAGGACCTTGTAGGGGATGATCTGACAAAAACACAGACACATCAGGATCAGACTCTGTTTTTAGGTTCTTAATATAGACCAAAAACTTTGTAATGCAGCTTATGTGGCTACTAAACCAATTTTGTTATCAAGAATTTATATTCTAAGTAAACAGCACTGAACATTTATTCATGTAGAGCAATTTGTTTGCTTCTCTTCAGCTATTCGTGCAAGAAGGATCAAATCAGCAGCTATCAGTGCTTCCTAAGGGGGTACCTCAGATATGTTTTTGACACCCTTTTCCTCTAGCAGCTTCTTATAAAACCTCTGGGTCTGCTCTGAGGTCATGTTGGGCTCATCTCTGGTGAAGAGGCAAACCTCATCTGTGTCGTGCCGCTGGCCATGGGGCAAGGGACTAGGGACAGAATGAAACGTCACTCTCGGTGAAGTCGGCTCAAAAGTGAGAAAGTGGCTACTACAGAACTACAGACGTGAATACAGCTTTGTTCCCGTGTGTGAGACTCACATGCGGATGGTCTGTGCCTGTCTGGGGATCTTCCAGAGGGTGAAAAGCAGACTGATCTGCTGAGTCTCATCCAGGAGCAGAAAATCGGGGGTAGATTTGGTTTTCAAGAAAGCCTGCAGAGCTTGGACGGCCTTTTTCACCTGACAGAGACATTAACACCAGAGTCATAAAAGACAACACAAAGCCACCAACAAGCTCCGGTTCCCTTGCAGGGGACTCAGACTTGTTACTGGGTCACTGGGAATTAGCTTGGTGACCGAACAAAGTAGCATGAAAACAAGCTAGCTAATGCTAATTAAACTACGGCTGGTGTTGATAATATAATAATAATTGATAATAGCATAACTTATAACAGTCGCATAAACTCCTATTAACAAACTACTCATAGACTTTAAGTGTATTGCTGCAAACAGCAAACCTTTACCTGTACGAGATCCAACACAACTTCTGCTTTATCAGCCATGCTGTGCGCTTCACGTGTTATAGACGCGCATGCGCAAATGAAAGTTAGTACGTCACATATACAAAAAAAACTTTATTTGTACATCGATCCAGAACACCGCTATGAAAAAAAAGAGTTGCGTCATGTCAATAATTCCGTTGAAGTGAGAAAGATGTTTAATGATAGCGCTGTAGCCGCATCAACATGACTGGGAGGTGAAATATTCCTTAGTC